TTGAGGCTTCTTTTTTTTTTTTTTTTTTTTAAACTAGACACATTGTGCACTGCCTGCTATTGTGCGGTAGGCCTGCTATTTATTTTTATGTCTGACGGAAAAAAGACTCTTTAAGGTGCACTGAAGGATTCAGTGTGTTTTCGTTTTGTCATCTTAATTTTAATTATTTAATTGAAAAATATTTAGTGTAGGCCTATTTATTTTATTTGTTTTATTTGTTATTTTATTCTGTTTTTCTCTATTCTCAGAAGTGCTGCAGGTGCGTGATAATTTGATGTTGTGTGAATCCAGGTTCTGTTGTTGCTCTGTTGTTCTTTATGCTGCTGTTTGCACGTTAAAATAAACCCGTGAAAAAAAATGTTTTTTATTTTTAATGGGTCACAGACACTCATCCATTCTATTTTTATTTAATACTAATTTATTATTCTAATCTTATCAGTTAACGGTTAATGTTCAGATAACAAGTAACGGTTGTCGCTCGGGAAAATTAACCAAAATGAACATCCCTTCACCGGTCTGTTTTTGTGGCGACATTTCCACACCCCGAAACGTGACGCTGAACGAAACGAACTGTAAATTGATTGTTTAACATGTTGTTTAACATGTCAAACGGCCTCATGGGCGGGCATTGGCCAATGAAAGCTGCCATGGATTCCAGACCTTCAGCCGTCAGTCTGAAGATCTGGCTACGTGAGACTAGACGAGCCTTAATGCAAAATGGACATACATTTACAGATAACCATAAAATGAAACCTTTATGCGCCATCACTATGTGGAAAACTTCCCAACAGAATGACATTGGGATGTGTAAATAATGACAGGTTTTTATGTGAGCTATCCCTTTAAGAAATAGCACTTTCCCAAGAGAAGCTCCAACATGATGGATGTGTCAAAGGTGGTGATAAATGAAGCTTTTACTGAGGCAACTGACCACCAGAGATTTAAAAACAAAAACAAGCAGCCTAAAGCAGATATTCTTCACAACTAATGCCATCAAAAGCTAAAGTGCAGATTAACTGAGACCAAACAGAAATGCTTATCATCACCCAGTCAACTTCAGATCTTGACATTACAACCATGAATAATACATGCAAAATAGTAGCCTACTTAGTATCACAATGCATAAAACAACACATTTTATCATTAAACTGTCAAAATGAGAGAGAAAGAGATTAACGTACTTCATCTCAACGAGAAAAACACTTAGTTGCGGCTTTACCTAAGTCTCCTTTAGCATTTACTCTAGAAAGTCTGCTAGTATAGACAGCGGTGGAGTTGTGCCAATAATAATACTAGTCTAAATGATTGTTATTTAGGCCTTTAAATGCGTTATTATGCCCCGTCAGTTCACTGCAGCATGTTAGTTAGTATGCGAGCTCCGCTACTGCGGATGAGATAACGCGCGCGCGCACAGTGAAGGAATTTAAACTGACAGTTAGAAAAATAAAATAAGAAAGACTATTTACCTGTTAAGACGGATTAATGTCTTATAAGCACATCTTTTCTCTCTCTTCTTCAAAAGTTTTAGTCCTCGCTCACGTCGGAGTGGTTGTTCTCGCGCTGTTTCTGCGTTCCAGTCAGAGATTCATTCTGTCTGTTGTAACGCTACAGAACGAACCTGCACTGGCGTCTGTCGAGGACCTAGAAAACTAAACAAACAACCCATTCCGGAGCGAATGTCCATGGTGTCTCGCACAAAGCGAATGGTTTAGTAGGCTAGTAGAGCAAGCACACGTGTAGATGTTGTCATTTGTGCAGCTGTAATCATCAGAGGGAGGGTTGAGGAGATGTTTGCCTCAGTAAGACGCTCAGAGGGTTGTTGGTGCTCAGTGAAGGTACCAAGGTGAGAGATTTTATGTAGGCTATCACCGTAAACTAACCGATTTTGGATACTATTTTAGACATTTTAGTACTTAAATGTATGGAAACTCTGAATATGACTGCAAAAACAAACTAAAATCCCGTGGTGCCTTCCTTTTTGTCTATTTTTGGTATGTTTTTTCCGCATTTTTTGTTATTATTATTATATTTTGTTATATTGTTATCATTTTTTATTTTTTATTTTCATTTTTTATTCAGAATTTTTATGTTTTGTATGTTTTCTTTTTTAATTAATCTGTTTAGTTTTTAAAGGGGTCATAAGATGCTATTTCAATTTTTCCTTTCTCTTTGGAGTGTTACAAGTTGCAAAGACTAAAGTCTCAAGTCCAAAGAGATATTCTTTATAAAAGTTAAGAGTCAGCCACACCTACCTAAAACGGCTCGTTCTAACACGCCCCCACATATCTACATCACTATCTGGGAAGATTTGCATAACGCCGCCCAAATGTTCACACAAAGAAAGAAGGCGTAACTTTTATTCTCGCTGTAGTATTGTTGTTGCCACCGCCTAATGTGTTTTTTTAACCTTAAACCGCATAAACATATTTCATTACACCAAATACACAAAATAATGTTCTTTTTAGCAGCATCATATGACCCCTTTAAATAATTTAGCATAGGCTACTGGATAACATTTTCCATGCGGTGGCAACTCTGGCCACTAGGAGCGCTAACAGAAAAGGGGCATTGGCGATGTATCCGAAATTGCCCCCATACCCTCATTAAATATTCCCTACATACTCCACTAATATAGTCCACTGAAGAAGTGAATAAAAACGAGTGAATTTGGATGCTGCATACAATAATAGCTATAATAATATTCTTATTATATTTTATTATATTGTATATATTTTCTTCTCACAAGAAAGGAAATTGTTCAGCATGATGTTCAGAGTGCATGGGTGTTTTCTAGTGGCTAGCCATTGAGCGTATGTCATTATTGAGGTGCATTATGGGATTGAATGAGTGCACTTTATAACATGGTTTCGGACAGCTCACAAATAGTGCACTATATAAGGGTATGGGGGTGATTTTGGACACAGGCAATGTCTGTGGCATGAAAATTATCATTTGGTGCCAACTTCGGCCATTAGGAGATTCAGTGATTTACATAAACAAATGAACAGCGATGCAACAACTACCGATAGGAGTGCAGACAGTGATCCATTGCCTGATACATTTGGATACACTGACTCAAACCAGTGATGTTATCACTGTCAGTGAGGGGCTTAAGCATGAAATCTTATATTTAACCATAGGGTGGCAGAATGTATGTTACTTTATTGTTAAATAATTTAAAATAAGATGTTTCTTTACACATTTTAATGAATAACCTTATTTTACATGAGGAAAGCTGTACAATATGTATATATGTCAACAAAATTGACACACTGATATATTAATTGATATATTCATAAATGTCATGAATTCATAACTATCATATTCATGAATGAATTCATATGAATTCATATTCATAGCTATCAAAAAACCATGCAAATTGTAGTTTCTTATTATATGGGCGCTGTTAAAAAATTTTCCATATGCCTTTTGTAAAATCCACTCTTAGCATTCATGAGACAAGCTCATCCTCAGAAATCAGCCCAGGATAAATGATTTAAATTCTCTTTCTTTTGGTTATGTAACTGTCTGCCCTTTGTCTACATAACTGATGAAAATCAATTGACTGAACCTCTGCCCACGGATGTCAAGCTGGATTTGGGGAGGAAGTAATCACACATTTCTGCCTAGAATAACTGACGATGATACAAACATGTTTTTCTCCACAACACTGCTGGAAAATATGGTCCGGGCCTCTCTTGATAATGGCATATTGCATTCATTTAGTCCTGCGACAGAGATGCCCCTCCGTACAGTTAATGGAAATGGAGGCCAGAGATCAGAGAGGCCACACAAATACACCACTGATCTAGCAGTTATTAATTATGCCAAATAATACCTGCTTCAGAAAAAAAAAGGATTTTGAAAACAGGACATAGCCTACAGTGTAAGTAAAGGTTTCTATTATGCATGTAATAATGATCTTTTATGATTATCCTTTTGAATAACCAATTAAAACTGGTTGTGGAGACCAAACATTATTATAAGATGACCTGTAAGACTTTACAATAAGGTCCAATCAGTTAAGTAAGGGATGATGTACATGGAGCCGGTTGTTATCGTAGAATAAACCCCGACACAATGAACAACACATTTGTTATTTATTAATCTTTGTTAACTTTAATTAAGAAAAATACAACTATATACAACTAGATCCAATAAATAATATTAACAGATACAGCTTTTGATTTTAATGATGTTTTAGTGAATGTTAAAATGAACTTTAATCCTCATTGTGTTTCAGTCATTTTGATCCAAAGGGGATTTACTTTTTTTTTTCCAAAAAATGCTATTTAATGTTAACACATTGAGCTAAAACCATTTTCAACCATGGTTGACAATAAATATGTATTGTATTGTTATTGTATTGTAAAACCTATACTGCTTTTTGTGTGGTTTTTGCCCACCTTGTTACACTAGGTTGTGGCCTACTAAATAAACGGCCTACAAAGAATTGCTTAAAGGGGTCATATGATGCTTTTTTAAAGATCATTATTTGGTGTATTTGGTGTAACAGAATATGTTGACATGCTTTAATGTTCAAAAAACACATTATTTTTCAAATACTGTACATTATTGTAGGTCCTCTATGCCCCGTCTCTCTCAAATGCTTCATTTTCTACAAAGTCCCTCCTCCTCCGACAAGCGCAGTCTGCTCTGATTGGCCAACTGACCCAGTGCATTGTGATTGGCCAAACACCACAAGCACGCGTCGGAAATGCAACGCCCCTTACCATAATCGCGAGCTTCATCTTTCAAAATAAATGTAAAGACAGTAAATAATGTCATTAGTTTTACCATCAGTTCAAGCCCGAAAGGGCAACAGAGTCGCGTGACAGACACAGTGATGAAGCTGGTATGTGTTTGCAGTACACAAGCCACGGTTAAGACAGCTGACTCCACTCTGATGTGCCCCTGTCTCTCTCTCTCTCTCACACACACACACACACACACACACACACACACATAAACACGATGCGCAAAACTCCGCATTTGAACAGTCAATAGCAAATACTTAAACTAGAAACAAAACAAACGTACAGTCGCTGATTCAGAAGCGCCAGATTGTCATAGCAAAGTCAGAATTACCTCCTCTCCTAGGTTCACGAAACGGTCGTCCATAAAATGCATTGCTGTTCTGTTGTAAGTAATCTTAAAGATTCCTAAATGCATCTACTTTCGGAAGGCCAAATAAAGTGCTTTTGCTTTCGCCTAGAAACACACAGCATCTCCCTGACATGGCTGCTTCAACACTAACTGCAGTTACTGAAACCACGCCTTCTTTCTTTGCATGCACATTTGGGCACATTATGCAAATATTCCCACATAGTGACCTAGATATGTGGGGGCGTGTTAGAACGAGCCGTTTTAGGGGGGCGTGGCAGAGTCTTAACTTTGATAAAGAATATCTCTTTGGTTTTGAGACTTTAGTCTTTGCAACTTCAGGGATCTTATCTATGCACAATCAGCTTGTAACACTCCAAAAAGAAAGGAAAACTTGAAATTGCATCATGTGACCCCTTTAAAAAAATGTCATTATGCTATATTACTGCCAAATATTGGATTCAGTTATTTTATCAACTTGTTTTCTTTCAATTAGCACAGGTTTGTATTTCTTTTCGGAACTGATTGATCATTGGCCTCATTGATCTGAACATACGCACCTCAGTTTTTGAGTGAATATTGCCAAAATAATCTACAAATAATGTTTTTTCACTCAAAAACAGAGGTGTATAAGCACAGATCAATGATGCCTATTATCAGTAAGTGCCAAAAAGAAATACAAACCTGTGCTAATTGAAAAAAGTTTGAACAAGACAAAAAGATTGAATCCAGGATTTGGTGAATATAGCATATAATGGGAGATTTACAAACAAATTTTAAAAGGTCGATCATTTTTGTCCAGGAACAGGATTTTCAGCACAGCACAAGGGTTAAGGAAAACTAATAAATGCTTTAGAAGTATTTTCTATTGTTAGCTCATTTAACTAATATGCAGTAAATAAATGGAACCTTATGTAAAGTGTAACCAGATAATAAAATAATTCACCTTTACAGGCACTTTGTGTATTGCAAGGCTTTGTCTTGGAGGGATACAAAGCACCAGAGGCTAAACAATACAGACCTACTGTCGCTACACTCCAGCTGTTCTAAAGGTGGCCCTATCCAAATGTATTTTTGGAGAAACTTGACGATACATTGGAGATGCCGTGAGCTCGGGAGGTGGTTGACTCCTGTGGTGAAATGCTTGGAGCATTTTGAGTCAGTATGTGGTAAGGAGGTGTGGGGAGCAAGGCTCAGTGTGTCGCTAATCGCTGTGTTTTTTGCATCCTGCGGAGATATGTTCACGCGGGGCTACGACACAAAGCCACAACACAGTTTCCAAAGCAACAGTACCAACCACTATATAGGAGATGCAGAAGGAAAACTGTTTTCCCAGGTGCCATTGATTGGCTGTCATAATAACAATGCCATTTGTTTATTTTTGGCTTGATAGGGACAGAGCAATCCAAGAACGTGGTTGTTTTTGGAAGGAAAATGAACCAAACTCATGTTTTTCCAAATATACTTTGGAATTAAAGTTAATGAATATTCACTATTAAAAAGTAATTGCTACTATAAACGTATGGACATGTTTTTAAACTGGAATGACCTAATCGTTTTCATAACGCTGTCGCTGTGGTTTTACTGCTATCCCATTAGATTTGGCTTCAGGCCAGCTGGACACATTGAGCAGCGTCACTCATTCCAGCTTCTAATTGAAATTGTGACAATGAGATAATCAATAGGCAGCAAATGTTTCTTTCTTCAATTAGGGCTATGTCAGAGATGGTGCATG